TTGGTCAAAGCAGCAACTGAAAAAAACCACTTAGCTACATGATTGCCGATAGGAAAATATTTTAAATTTAAAAGAAGACAAAAGCATATTAAGAAATTACTTGAAGTTGTAAAATTATTTTACTAAAATCATTATAATGGTAACAAACGTTTCGGTCCATTAAGTCGTATACAAAACAGATCACGAATTGGATTTTCTAGCCCCAGTGATTAGGGCGAATCAGATCGTGATCTGAATTAACAGCTCATCCAAGTGTTTTCACTGTGGTATTATTTGAGCATATAGAACATAGCACGTTGTGTAGTTTAGAAATAATATTAAGAAATTAGTGAAAGTTGTAAAATTGTTTTAATAAAATTATTGTAATGGTAAGAAATGTTTCGGTCCATTAAGTCGTATACAAATCAGATCACGAATTGAATTTTCTAGCTCCAGTGGTTGGGCGAAACAGATCATGATCTGAATTAGCAGCTCGTCCAAGTATTTCACTGTGGTAATATTTGTGCATTTAGTACGTGACATATCATGTAATTTTTTTTTATTAGTAGAAGTTATAAAATATCTTAATAAAATTATTATAATTGGTAAGAAATGTTTCGGTCCATTAAATTATATACAAGTCAGATCATGAATTGAATTTTCTAGTTCCAGTGGTTGGGGCGAATCAGATCATGATCTGGATTAGCAGCTCATCCGAGTGTTTTCACTGTGGTATTATTTGAGCATTTAGAACATAAAACGTTGTGTAGTTTACAAATAATATTAAGAAATTAGTAGAAGTTGTAAAATTATTTTAATGAAATTATTATAAGAAATGTTTCGGTCCGTTAAGTCGTGTACAAATTGGATCATGAGTTGAATTTCCTAGCCCCAGTGATTGGGGCGAATCAGATCATGATCTGAATTAGCAGCTCATCCAAGCGTTTTCACTGTGGTATTATTTGAGCATTTAGAACATAGCACATTGTGTATTTTTTTAGGTGCAGGTGTTGCGCCCGGTGAAAGTGTTACGTTACCGGTTTGGGTTTTGGATGGTGACGAAGCATTTGCGCCACTGATTCGTTTTGCTTTAACTGCACCGCTAAGCAAAACGGTCGTGGTCCTGTGCGCATCACTGCAGGAACCCGGGACAATATTGCAATCACTGAATAAATGGGCTAAAATTATTGACGATCAAATACAGAATATATTCAGCCGGCCCGTCATCATCGATGCACGTAAATCACGTGAGTTTTTTTTTTTCACGGTTATTTCATAGTCTCTTATGACTATTTTGCATCTGTGCAATGCAGAAAACACATATTGACGAGAGGTTGTGTGTGAGCATGTGTGCGTGTGTGTCTGTATGTGCGTCTGTATGCGTGTCTGTACCGATTTTTCGTCGCGAGACCCAGAAAAGCTACAAGGCTGAAACTTTGGCAACTTAATCTACACGCATGTACGTGCCCCTTTCCCCAAAATGGGCACTCTTGTCCACGTGACCGCGGTGTACGGGACCGTGAAAGTTTTTGGTGAGTAATATGTTAACTCGAGAACCAGAAAAGCTAGAAAGCTGAAATTTTAGGGGAATGTTTCCTAATAGTCCTTGTGGCTAGTCTCAGTTTTTTTTAGCTCGAAGCATCTGCAGAAAAAAACAGCATTGTTAGCGAAGAAAACCTGCAAAGAACTGGAAAAAACGCATTTTTGCGTCAGCAGTTGGTCGCTGGCCAGATATTTGTTCTTCACGTGGAGTATAGGGTACAGTGGTAAGTAACG